CCCTTACTGTGCTGAAACTAGAGTTGGTGAGAAATATAAAAAAGGAAGCAATTGCCTAACAGTAAAGTAGCTCCCGAAGCTTCAGCCCAACTCACTCAGCAAGTCAGAAACTGGGTCACATCAGAGGCTGTGCTACAGCTCTATACCCAGAGAGAACTAACAGTACACAAAGGTTTGGAATGCATCTGAATGTAGAGCTCAGCACCAAAAGGCCATAATATAGGCTAGCCCCACTATATTCTGAATCAGCGATCTGGATACGAGCCTCCAAAGCTGCTGCTGGATAGCAGCATTTTAAAGTCTTAATTGAAACCATTGAGGAAAAAAATATCTACAGCACATTTGTCAAAAAGAGGACCAAATCTTGCCCGCCAGGCCATTTCATGTGGCCCTCACACCTCTCCTGCAGCTGTGGCAACCCTACGACACCGCCCCCACCTTGTCCCAGCATTTGGCAACAGAGAGGATGACAGAACTCCTCCACCAGATCCTGCGCTTCTCTGTGCAGCCGCAGCACCTTCCTTGTCTCCACCTTTCCCTGGTCTCAGCATTCAGCAGCAGACACCAACCCTCCCTGGTCCTCCTCCAGACCCTGCACTTTCTGCTTTCCAGCTCTGCCTCAAGCTTCTTCCTGGCAGGAGCACAAGGTAAGGGTGGTGCACTGTGATGTAAGGAATGATGGGGGACGTGACTTCTGATGTATGGGGGAGTGCTCTGGACATCTAGTCTTACAGATACAACCGGCCCTTTGAGGGCAACCACAATGTTGATACGGCCCCCAATTAAATTGAGTTTGACACCCCTGATCTAAAGTGTATCAGGTATTTTATTACAAAAAAAAATTTAAATAAAAAAATAAGATTAAAAAGCTTGCAAAAATATAGTAAAAACTTTTTCAGCAGAGCTGAAGAAAAGGCATCCAGCCACTAGCAAAAAAGGCATGACAGTTTTTTTGGGTTTTCTTTGGGCAATGTCCCAAACGTCTGTAGATGGCACTACAACCAGACTTTTTGATAACTCTTGTATTGCCTGGGTCCCTCAATGCATGGTAAATACATTTTGTTTTCTTGCATTGCTGTACCTTGTTTTCACACTGCATGGTTAGGAAACTGGTCCATATGAATGATTAGTGGCAGACAAGAAGAACATTTAAATGGCAATTTATAGTTTAATGAAGTAATAAGAATGCATGCCATAAATTCAGGCTCCTTTATATTGTCATTGCTCAACCAGACTTCCAGGTATTTTATTAAAATACAGAAACAAACATCCACAGGATGAAGAAAATCATTTTCTGAACATAAATACAAACAGATTTGTTATTAAAAAAAAAATTTCACATAAGAAATACAAAACATAAAATTGTTCAAAAAAATGTATATTTGCATATTCTGTATAAACTTTCTGCAGACTGCTCACACACTGAACATAATCAGTACAGGGTAACGCAGAGTACATAAGAACACAGGGGAGATGTATCCATTTTCAGATTCACAAAGATTTGCTGCAAACAGTTGTGCACTTGAATCAGAATGACTACTTTTCATATCCTTTCCATTTTCCAAAGAAAGGGGACTTATCAATGCCTGTGTGACAGAAATGTTCTTGGTACTATTTCTGGGTGGCTTAAAGGAGATGTTTGGGGTTGATAAAAAAAAGACAGACATACATACCTTCATGCTGCAGCATCAGCGTGATGCTGCAGCTATCCTGTCAGCTCTAAGCCCAAGAACTGAGCGATTACGTGACCGCTGATCGCCCACTTCTCAGGCAGCTCTGAGCAGGGAGCAACAACTGTCAAGTCACTGCTCTCTGCTCCAATGCATCACCTGGCTTGGAAGTGGGTGGGAGCGCCTGATTCTAGCTCTCATCTGCATACTGAGTCAGCTGCTGATCAGGTATCTGTGTGGATTCCAACAGTATGGTCAGTTATTATTCCAGAGCCTGGAGTGGCTATGTGATCTCAGCTGACAGCAGGCTTTATCCCACTGTCTGCCGATTCAGGTCACAGGACAGCACATCACAGGACAGCACTTTTTACACAATTACTTCTGATGGTAAGATGTTCTCATTATTGACTCACAAGGTGAATTTACACAAAGCTTGATTTGAGGGGAGGGAGGATGCGTATAGCCACAGAGTTGGCTATAGTTCAACACCAAAAATCTGCCTATGTACATACATAAAAACATAGATTTTAAGGAAAACGATCTTCCAAAGTTGAAATACCCTTGTATGTAAGTGTAGCCTACACTTACATACCTCCTGAAGATCGCATCATCCTGTCTTGCCTTACCTTACTGTTAGAGTAGAACAAAAAGGCAAAACTTTTTCTTTTCATTTTAGATAAAGGAAGGAAAAATTTTGAACTTTAGGATGCATTCAGCCTTGCAAATGCACCCGACAATGATCACATGCAAGAACCCCACAGCTCAATTAAAAGCAATGGGAGGTTGCTTGATCCCGCTGCTAATTGCGGCCACTCACATGTAATCTCTCATACAGCAATCACATGTGAGCGATAGGCCTTGAACACAGGCAGTCTGCATCTTGGGCCAATCAGTGGCATTTGAATGCTTCATGAATGATTACATTTGAATGTCTGCAATTAAATGCAGGAGCTGGCAGTCTTCCATTGCTTTTAATAGGGCTGCCTTCTGCAGCTAATTGCCGGGAACCCCTACTGGGGTTCTCGCATGCAATCGTTGTTGGGTGCATTCACAAGGGTGAATGCACCTTTAAATTCTAACCCAATGCCTTTCTTGGCAGAACGGAGAAATGCATTTAAATGGACACACTAGGAAACATATTTTCCAAGAAACAATTATTTCTTATTCTTCAAGTTCGGACCTAATCACCTCTAAGTACAAAATTGACTTGGTCAAGTGCAGAAACACAAGCGTATTTAGTACAACAGATGCAAGTATAGTGTTTACCTTTTAGTCCATTTAATATGCATACATAAAACCATGAAAGTGTATTATTCTTTGTGGTAAAGTAAAGTGGGAACACCCTAAATCTGTTTTTTTAAAGTTTCTGTAACTTAATCTCAGAGTCAAAAATGTAAATAATTCTGACTATTCCCGTCAGAAACAAAACTCTGTGCAAATAAGGACGTGATATAGATTCCTTTTTATCTCTATATAATTGATTGGCAGCAAGACTTTTTCCATGTGGTAATCATCCAAGGTTGACTCATTTGGTAGCAGGGACAACAGGGGTGGGGCGAGAGATTTATCAAGCAAGCACAGACTATCCAGCAAATATCCAGTATAAATTCAGCTGCATCTTGTTTATCAAGGGACGTGCAAAAACTGCTATGGTTCTTGATAGTGAAGAACACAAATGTTTGGGCACTTCTAGTAAACAGACATGTTTTGTTGATTTCTTAAGCTAAAAGAAGTAAACAGAAATTCTTCAGGAAACACATTTAAAGCGGTAGTAAACCCAAAAAAAAATGTAATATATTACAGCTCAGCAATCATTAGATGTGATGGCTGCATTAGATTTTTGGCTTTTTTCCTCTCCTTATTCACCTGGTTATCTGGCCAGTAAAACACCTTGGGTATTAGAGTACCCCCTCTCTGGATGAAGGAGCACAGGGGGCACCACTGGACAGCAGCACTGTGAGTCTGGGGGAGAGGGGATTGTTAAATGGACTAGCAGATTTAGATAAACTAACACAATTGAAGATGAACTCCAGCTCACACTTTATCAAACAGTTACAGCAACAGTTTTTCCTTTTGGGATAACAATTTTACATAAATAAAACCTGATCATTGTAAGAATCTGTCAGTGGTAAATGGATTGTCTCATCCCTGTAACTGCAAGAGAGCTTGTTCTTTTGAAAAACAAGGAACTTAATGGCAGGATGACCCAGTGAAAATAAGGGAAAGAAAGACTAAAAAAGAAAACTGTCGCAGCCACCACATCTAAGACTTGTCAAGTTGCAATATAATAAATGCTTACTTCTGTGTTTAATTATGCTTTAAAGCAGAACTCCAAATTTTAGTAAACGAAAAAAAAAAAAAAAATAGATTGCAGGTTGCCAAACGCAAGTTGCATTTCTCAGATTTACCCTAGATGTGATTGCAATGAAAGCAAATGAACATTAATCACATCTATGCATGTGCACAGAGGTTTATGAGTGAACTACAAGTCCCAACAGTCTTTGCAGCTGCCAGCTTGTAGCTCTCAATGAACTGTGGTAATTCATTGAGTCTTCCTGTCAGACTGTATCTGCTTGCCCGTACATTCATATGAACTCGGCAGAAGCAGTTTTTTTATTAGTTACAAATCGTCTGGCAGAGAAAGAGTGAAACTTATTATTTCAACTGTATCCTCATATTACTTGTGTCGCCATATGATCCTTTACTGTGCCGCCTTTCTATGGACATTGTTTGATTTTACTCCAAAAAATGCTTTTTATATGTAGTCCTGCACGTTGTCACAAATCCTAATCAAAGACAGTGATACATTAAACATGAAAAAATGTTATCCTTTAAAAAAGGATTCACAAGCACACTTGGCAGCAGTCCTTCAGTAGTAACGTATGCGTAGCTAGGGTTTATCAGTGTGCAGTAAGACTTGTCCCAGCATACAGATAGTTGGCAAATATGGCACAATGGAAGCTGCCCGTTTATACAGCAACACAAGGCTGGGTAAATTATACAAGTCAGGAAACCACACACAGGTAGTCTAACATGGACCTCTTCTGTTTTTATGAAATGGATGGTTCTAGGCACTGCCTGCTTACCCACAGATCTGCATATCCTCTAGAGTGAGTTTTACAATCATGACAAAGCCTTGAACATCCCTTGGCAAAGAATACAATTATCTTAAAATGCATAACTCACTACACGGGATTTCGCAAACCACTTCAATCTAGTATGGAGAAGATAAAGAAAAGATAAATCATCTAAATATACATTTAAGAGCAAGGTTTTCCAGGACAAGGACCTAGTTGGACATGGAGAACAACTGTTGTAAGATTTCCCTCTCATACTAAGTGGGAGAGAGGTTGGAACCTTGATGTTCAGGTCACCAATGTTAATATTGCGCGGTAATTCCGGTAAATTCATACTCTTCACAGCGGAAACTGCTCTTGCTGGAGCTGCAGAGAAACCACTCTGAAGCAAACAAAAGGGGAAAAAGAAAAACAAACAAACAATCAGAACAGTAGAAAACATACCTTTATGTAACGATTTTTAGAATATAATAAAGCAAAATGTGTTACAAGTGTATGACTAAATATTTTAGAGGGAAAGATATGTAAACAAATACAAAATATATAGGGTACAATGTGTGTTTCAATGTATAAAGAAGTCCCCACTCAATGGTTAAGGGCAGTTGTTGTACAGCTTCCCCATCTACACATAAAGACACTTGTCTGGTAAAGGAAACAAGTTGTGTGTAGTTGGTCATCTACTCAATGCTGGAATAAACTACGAACACTACAGGCTTTTGGAAGTGCTTAAGAGTGAGACACTCTCTCCTGAAGATCCTCTCTGACCTCTGATCTATATTAAACCCATAACTAGATCCAAACACTTAACCTTAGCCTGTATCCCTAATATACCTCTTAACACTTTACCTAACATTTAACCACAATACTGCATCTGACACCTTACAGGACACCTACTTTAAAATGGAACTTCACCTGAAAAGGGAAGTTCCACGAATCCTCCTCCTCCTCCCTCTTTAATAAAGTTTTATTTTCTTCAGGTACCCACACCAACTTCTCTTCTGTTGGTCTAGGCACACCCTTCCCGAAACATGTCAAATGTCCCAGTGAGGCAGCAATGGCAGAGTTCCCCTTTAATATGGACAAATGTGGTAGCACCCAGCTAGTGCTGAGTTCCCCTTAATTATGTAAGGCTTTAACATATCCTTTTTGTGAAAAACCATCTAAATCCCACATACAACCCTAAAATAAATTCTACAAATACTTAATTTTTTTTAATATTTTAGGGTTGTATGTGGGATTTAGATGGTTTTTCACAAAAAGGATATGTTGGATTGTGTACTTTCTAGGGAGAAAATGTGACTTTTTGGTGGGAATTGAAGGAATTTATTGATTGATTGTATGTAAGGTTTTAGCTTGCAGATTTGAGCTAAGCTCTGACTCCTACCCCCACATTTCCTGGTTGTTCTAATTTAGTAGGTGACAGTCTGAGCAGAAACCACAATAAGGCTATATTCCGTATACTGCTTTTCACAGGTATTATTATACAGGATTTATATAGCACCAACAGTTTGCTCAGTGCTTTACAATATAACGGGAGACAATACAGCAACAATACAGTTCAATACAAGAGGGAAAGGAGTTACAAGAAATGTTAAGAGGAAATATATTCCTTGAGACGTAATCGCTAGTATATACGCTTGTAAGAAGGGTATACAATTTACTTAGCAGATAAGAGCAGCATGGGCCATCTGCTGGGTTGAAACAATGCTGTTTTTAATAAACCAGCTGTTTTTCCTCAAGAAGTCCGTGTCCAGAGTTTTACCTGAATTTCCAAAAATTGCTACACCACCAGGAGACTGCGTGATCATTGGTAGAAAGCAGCACTTCTCCGGCATGCGCAGTGGGACGTTGGTTGTGAAACACCAGGAAGTCACAGCCAGCTTCCCACAAGCAAGATGGCGCTGCTGAGGTCCTGAAGACTGGCAAAGTACCGGCCTGGGTGATGACAATGTTGGGAGAGTCTGTATATTAAATGTCAGCAAGTACAGTACTTGTAGCTGCAGGCTTTTAATTTTTTTTTTATAACTGACTGGAGCTCCTCTTTAGCTGTCAAAACTGAAAGATATGCTACCAGACTCCATACAGTGAAACCAACTACTCCAGGAACGTCAGCAAAATACAGCCTTCAAGTAGCATTTCTGTCAAGGATGCTGTCATATATGTCAATTTTTGTGTTACGAACAGATTTTTTGTAGCAATTCTGAGAGCCCATAGAATGCTTCAGACACCCAATCTAAATGTGTGTAATACAGTAACCGCACAGTAGAAACAAGCAACACTAGGACAGCTGGATTATTATGCTATGAGTTCAGGAACCACATTAGGAGTATGTAGAGAAAATGTGAAAAAGTAAGCACACCCCAAGAAAATTGTTGACTTATTCACCATATTTAAACAGGCAAACATTAGATGTTCATTCTAGTATTGACTACAGATAAAGGTGATATACTTGAACAAATGACACATACAATTGGCATGTTGTATTCATTTTTATAATCTAAATGAATGAAAATGCAGATGTCACATGGAGAAAATAAGTACCCTCCTAAATTTGAATTAGAATCAGATGTTTCAGATTAGGTGATAATTATTTAATCTGTTTATGCAGTATGCAGGTGTAACTTGACTTATTTATATCTAAGGTGTGTGTATTATTGAGGTGTTATGTCATCATGCCAAGATCAAAACAGCTCTCTAAGGCTCTCAGTAGCAAACTTGTGGATGGCTATGAGTATGGCAAAGATTAAAAAATTGTTTAAAGTCTCCCACTCCACAGTAAAGAAAATAATCAAGTGGCATAGATTTCAAAGGACTGCAAGTTTGTCCAGCATATTCAGGTCCAAGAGCTGGCTGCCCTAAGCTAAAATAAGTGACCAAGTTCCCCTAAAACTATGGGATCTACAGGTCTTTTGCAACAGTTAGTGACAATGTGCATGTACAGCATGTACAATCAAAAAGAGATTGACCAATTTTTCCTGCATGGGAGGAGTGCCGTTAGAAGAAGACTACCACTTATGTGGGAGGGGCCAGAACATAGCACTGTGAGGACGTGAGAGGAGCTCTGGGGGCCTACTACTGGAGGAGTTGACCGCTGCCCAGAGCACAGACCCTCAGAGCACAACCCGCACACAGCACCCAGTTTCTGCCCCATGAAGCGGGAAGACCATCTGCGATCTCTACGCAGTCTCTATCGGGATCGTGTGTGGGGATGCGAAGTTGACACAGAGATGAAAACTGCAGAGCCGGTAGAGAGGAGAGGGTGCCGGCCCAGAGGCTGGACAGAGAAGGAGCCAGGTCGGGTCCGCAGGAGGCAGGGTGAAGATAGCTGCAGATGGCGACAGGAGGGGACTCCTATCCTTTAAGAGTCCAGGTCTGGTGAGCAGGAAAGTGCGGCAAGTGGAGACGGCCTTGGAGACTCAGCTGCCTGGCTGAGGCGGAAGAGTGGAACCCAGTGGAGGAGGAGGGGGTTGAGTATAGGAAGCAAGTCCCCCCCCCCCCTACTTCCAAAGAAAACATCACTGGGTGACTGGGGGTCCCTGAAAAACTTTTTTCACTGAGCTCTATTAAATCGATCCCCCCCCACAGGAACAGGACTTAGATCATATACAGGACGATCATATACAGGACAGAGGACTAGAGACCTGCCGAACACAGGAGAGTGCTACAAGATGGCTTCACATGTTCCTGGAAGCACAGTCGGGATGGCAAGTTGCCCTGCTTCACGGCAGGGCATTTAAACGTTTAAAAATGTATAAATAAGAAAAAAAGGAAAAAAATCTAGTAGTAATCTGATACCTGGAACAGTGGGGGAGGGGAACAAACAATATTAATTCGAGAACTCTCAGTGAAAGGTGGAACTGTTGATTGTCCTGTTGCCCAGTGGAGAGCACAGTTCTTTCATAAAAATTGCATTAATAAGAACATTTCTGGTTATAACACGAATATACCTGTTAAACAGGAAAGTATTTGGAGATTAAACAGAAGAGCAGAGCAGCAAAAAGGGGGGGGGGAGCTCTAAACACAACAGAGTGCAAATGTTAGCACAATTCAAAAATACATCCATTCGCAGGAGCATAGCCCGGAAAAACGAACCTGGGATAAAAAGCAAGAAGGAAGTAGTAATTTAGTCGGAGATCAATCTAGACTGTCATTAGGCAGAGAACCAGACTAATGAATAGATAAATACAGACAGTGAACTGGCATTACGTTCCTCAGAACATCTAGGCATTTCGTTACCTACAAAGAGTGAGATAGCATAAATGTTCCCGAAATTGCAATTATCTATGAAAAATTAGATAGGAGGCTACGCAACGACTTAGGCTAAATTTTAAGGCAAGTGGAAGAAGTAGAAGAGAATATGGAAGCACAAGCTCAATTAATTGATAAGTTAGAGATACAGGCGGAGAAGCTGCGCAGGGAAGAGAGAATGATCTTATATAAATTAGACGATCAAGAGAATCGTGATAGAAGAAGCAACTTAAGGATCCGGGGCTTGCCAGAAGAAGAGCAAGGAGAAGACTTATGTGACAAAATGAAGAGAGTGTTTAACCCATTACTGAGAAGACCACTGACAAAGCATCTGAAAGTTGAGAGAGTGCATAGGATCAGGTGGCCACAAGGAGTGAAAGCAGAAAGCCCCAGAGATGTGATAGTCCGTTTCCATCAATATGAAGAGAGAGGAAAAAATCTGGAAAAGCCTACGTAATACTTCAGAAATAGATTATGAGGAAACAAAGCTGTATATTTTTGCTGACATTGCACCAGAGACTTTAGCTAGAAGAAGGACTTTGAAACCGTTGTTAGATCAAATGAGAGAAAAAAAGTTTGATATACCTAGAACTTTCCAGCACGCCTGATCGGATGGAAAGACGGAAAATCCACAAGGCTGAAGTTTCCAGAAGATCTGAGTGACTTTTATGAAAAATTAGATCTACAGAAAATGGAACTTGAAGGGTGGTCAGAGGGACTTTGAAAGAGTGGAGGGCAGAGGACAGAAAGGTGGCAGTGGGTGTCTGGAATGTGAAAGTAGGATGGTGTCAGGGGAGGAGGAGGAGTTCCCTTTTTTTTCCCCCCCTTTCTCCCTGCCGCTCTCTGCTCCCCCCCCCCCCCCCCCGTCAGAGCTCCCCAGTCCGCGCTATCCCTGCTTTGTCCTCGACCCCCCCCATGTAAGATCTGGGGGGGAGGGCTGTGGGGAATATTTACGTGTGGATTGCCCGGAGGCGTGCGTGGTTTGAGTCTCACCCCAAAATAGGAATCGCGAGTGGGAATAACCCACGTCAGATTCCATGGCAATATGTAGACCAGGGGGGTTTTAGGGGTAAAATAATTAGGGGGAGGGGAGGGTGGGTAAGGGGATGTTATAGTTGGGGAAGGGAGAACGTC